TGCATATTTATTTACGTTTTCCAACGATCACGCTACTTCAACAAAACGCCAAGCCAGATCGCCATATTATATGTATAAAATGACTTCATGAACCGATTAGCACCTCTTTGAAAGTGGACTATCTTAAAAGAATTTGTCAGATTTAATTGCGATGAAGCATTGATTATCGAGAGTTTTTAAGGTGGAATTTGGTATTTGAGAGACATCTGATGCAAAGCCAGGCACACCATCTTCCTATGATTTGCATGTTCCGTCTTATATTTATTGCTGTACAGATTGTAATTTGAATGTTCCTTCTTATATATATATATATATATATATATATATTACTGTAAGCAAATTCTATATCTTCTATGAAAATGATTTTAAAAAAGCCTGTTACTAACTTCTTTGTCATTATCTTAGCTCCCTTGAACTATTCACATTCCATTATGGGCAATAACCATCCAATCAAACATTACCTTTCTGATGAATTTGTTGTGAACATCGCAAAAATGAGTAGCGAAACCGCAAATGAAGAAAAGCGCTTAACTTATGATGTATCCGAAAAGACCTTTAGACATAAAGGTCATTATGACGCTCACAAACGAAGACAGCGTGACGAAAGACGGTTCGCATGTGAAATATGTGGAAAACAATTTATTTATATATCTGCACTGAATTCTCACAAACTAGTTCACAGTGATGAAAAATCGTACAAATGCAGTGAATGTGGAAAAAAATTTAAACGTCAATCGGATTTAGTTAGCCATATGCGTTCCCATTGTGAAGAAAGGCCCTTCGAATGTGGAATATGCAAACAAGCTTTCAAACATTCACATAATTTGACTAAACATTTGCGCTCCCATAGTGAAGAAAGGCCCTTCGAATGTGGAAAATGCAAACAAGTATTCAAATATAAAGGCAATTTGACTGTACATATGCTCATACATACGAGAGAAAAAAATATAAATATGTAGTGAATGAAACAAAAGATTTTCGCTTATGCATGCTTACAGTTACAATGTATGCCATGCCAAGCTCGAGACCAGATATTCAAATGCAGTGTATGGGGAATGGGTTTTTTAAATTCGAATTTACACAAATTGGCGCATACTCGTGCAAATCAATCAAATTTTGAAGTGAATGGGTCAAGATACGTTGCATAAATTTTGTTTCCTATGACGCACAATATCCAGAAACGAAGATTGCAGAAGTAAAGTTTTCAAATTCGATATGTGGATACACGCAAAGAGACACATGGAGATGACAATTCGCTTGCAATTAATGGCAATGTAAGGAGACCTCAGAATAAATTAACTTCGAATCTTCCCATTTAAAGTCAACTCCATTTATCAGTGTGTTTCGTTTCCTCAATTCAATTAAAATCCTATTATTGTCAATGTAGTTTTGCTATCAATGCGTGGGTTATCAAGTGACCACAGACACTGAGAGAAAGAAGTTAAAACTATATTATCCTAATTTAAATTAACACATCGATTATAAAATAGACATTTGGGTTATTCTATTCTGTCATTTATTTTGCCTAAACTTTTGATAAGCCCATTTTAAGGAAAAGTCGATATCAGGTGTGGCAAATTCTGTGAAAAAATTAAGTTATTGACAAATTGCATGAACTGCCTTCAACCCGATTACAATTCATATGATCAAAGTTCTAAGATGTCTTTATCATAATATTATTTGATATTCACAATTTTTCGAATTAAAAATTACGCTTTAACTGTTGTATTCAGTCTCTTTTTGCATTTAAATCAAGTTCAACTTGAATTTACACTTGACGATTAAATTTCCTTACTCTTACTAGAATACTTTAATATTGACTCTGAATATAGGTGAGACTATAGTGTTATTCGGAAATCTCGTGTGAATTATTGAAGGTCGTGTTAAATTCCCTCTGTTTATTAAAAATTAGAATATTGCTTGCTAGTTCAGATCTTACGTTTTATTTTGATGGCATTTGTTATACCAAGCACAACTCTTTCCGTGTGGTATATTTCTTCAATTAATGTTGATGTAGCTTGTTACATTTTAGAGCATTTTAAAGGTATAGCATCTTACGAGAAAAAGCTTCTAAGTTACGGTCCATGTTAAAACATCCATTATAGACTACCTATGAATAAACTTTATTACAATTTTTTTCAATGATTAATGAGTTCAGCATATAGGAGAACAAATTAATAGTCTTGAATAGATGGGTCAAGTAAGACTCTTTTATAATCTCTGCAAACCATATTTGCCCAATATGACTGTAAATTAGAAAGAAAGACAGCTGTCAAAATTGCATTCTCGAAACAGATAAATGTGTCTGCTTGTGAATAAGCCCAGAGCACTGACCATGGACATTGAACGCATTTTTGGCAGAATGATCTAATCTAGTATGCCCTAGATAGGGTACCATTTCTGAGCCTTAAATGCTAAATCATTTTCCATATTTTGCACTAATACAACCTCTTTTCTTTTAAATGACAAATTGCGTCATAACTGAATTTGGTTTGAGTTCCATGGGCTGTTTTATTCCACCAAAATCGAATATAACATATGCGTCTGAGTCAAGTATATGACATCTATCAAATGTTGAATAAGCAAATGTTTATACATATATTTAGCTGTTATTATGACACTTTATCAAAAGAACCATTGTAAGAGAGAAATGATGCATTTTTGCTCAAAATCTCTTTTAAAGTGAAGCGATCTCGATTTATAAAAAACAAGAAATATAAGCCTAATTCAAGAATGCCATTGCATACACATAAATACAGATCCAAACCGCAAGATATTGATTGAAATCTGCGTTAACTACGATTTACTTTTGGGCACCACTAATTTAAATAGAATCAATTGCTATGTTTCCCAACAATCAACAAATGATTTTGGCTGCCAGATCGGTAGCATCTCTTTATTTGTGTGGGTGCATATGTACCCTTTGCTTAGTTCTAATGGCCTTTCGCTCAATACGTGTAGTCTTTAAAAAGATAATTCATTTATAGTAGTAAGATTGGCCTGATTAATGGTATTTAATTTATGAGATGATTAACAATATTTGAAAGAGACTACAAGTGACTTGAAGAGAAAATGATTTTTCCCTTCCATATTTTATTAAGTCACGATCGTCCGAGTCAAGTCATTATAATTTAATGTTGAAAAATCAAATATTGTGGCTCTTTTTTCGTTATCAAAAGAGAATATTTGATCACGTTATTATGGAAATGAATTAATTTTGCTTACATTTACTTTTAATAAATAATCATTTAAAATATTTAAAGTTAAGCGCTTTTAAATTCTAGAAGATAAGAAATTCAATTGTAATTAAAGACTTTTTCTGGCATAGCATACCTTTAAAGACAAATCCATATCTCAAAAAACGATTCAATAAGTCTTAAGTATTAAAAATAAATGAATGAATAAGTATATATATATATATATATAGGGGTGTGTGATGGGCTTACCTCTACGTGGTGCAACTTGGGCAACGTATACTCATACGGCAAACAAGTCTATAAACCGACAGTTGACTTCTGACGTCACGGTATGTCATATTCGACTACTTCTACAGTACTCACATCCCATTTTTCTAAATTTTCTACCTTCGTCTTTGAAACACACTTCTGCCCCCCACCCCCTCTCGACTTTCTTAACTTCGATGTTACTTCCACTCTATGAAGCCTGAAGTCAACTAAATGGCTAATGATAGCCATCAAAACGCCTGCCATTTGATATATATATATATATATATATATATATATATATATATAGCGGAATAAAGAGTTTACTAAGAAATATAGATTCAGGTAGTCGGAGAGGTTTTGATTAACGAAACAATATCCTCATGCTCAGTCATATCAAATGGCGTGGTTTATGTGATATATATTTTTTTAGATGTGAGTAAAATTAAGATTATTTAGATCATTTGATTAAATTTGAATAATTGCTATTGTTCATAGCGGATTGCTACGCTAGTTGAGCCTGACTGACTCAAAAATCTCTATGGTAGATTCTCCTACATCTAGCTAGACTCCCAAAACCGGCTAAGCTATAGCCCAGCTATAAAGGAAACAGACGTGTAGCACGTTTATTCAGGACGTATATTGCGGATCAAGTGTACCCGCTTATTCAGGACGTATATTGCGGATCAAGTGTGTACACACAGAGTATATTGTGGATAAAGTGCACACGCAGGGGTACGAGTATTGCGGATAAAGTGTACACGCAGGAAGCTTAATCATGATCTGGATGGCGGATTAGGTTAAACAAACAGAGGTGAATGATTGGTTACTGTTTTTACGGTCGCACCTCCCAATCCTGGCGTGCAGGCATGCGATGACGTGTCCCACAATGGTTTAATGATTCTGAAGCACATTTATTTACGTTTTTCAAAGATCACGCTACTTCAAAAACATTCCAAGCCAGATCGCCATCATTATTCATATTATATTTATAAAATAAATAAATATTTATAAAATGACATCATGAACCGATTAGCACCTCTTTGAAAGTGGACTATCTTAAAAGAATTTGTCAAATGTAATTGCGATGAAGCATTGATTATCGAGAGTTTTTAAGGTGGAATTTGGTATTTGAGAGACATCTGATGCATGCCAGACACACGATCTTCCTATAATTTGAATGTTAATTTTTTATTTTTTATTTTTTTTATTTCAAATGGCAGGCTTTATGATATTTATCATTAGCCCTTAATCTTTGACTTCAGCTTCCCCCAAGAGGGAGGGGGGTACATTTATAGCAGTTAATTAATAGCAATTCATTAGCTGTCTTCTTGCTTCCCAGTATCTTTGGCTTTCCGTACTTGTCTTTAGGGCTGGACACCGAATCAAGTGGGTCTTATCCATTTCCTCCTGTAGGTTACATAGAGGGCATGTGGGTTGAGTGTATACTCCCAATCTATGAAGGTGTTTTGCCAAGCAATCGTGTCCGGTACGTAGTCTAAACTCAGCAACGGATTCGATTCATGGCCAGTTGGGTATTTCGGAGATTGCCACTGTCTACTGTTTCTCCTTTGTTCGAGCTTTAATTTCGTTGCACCTTGAGGTCTGGAATTCTCTCCTGATTAAGGCCTTCATCGTGTGGAAAGACATGGGCCGGTCCATGCATTGCAAAATCGTTGTCCCCTTCTTAGCAAGTGTGTCAACTACATCAATGTCTGCTAATGAGTTCATGGGGAGAGAGAGGCTTTTTGGTTTGTCATCGATTTGTAATGCTTTCTTCAGTTCTATGGCTTTCTGCATTAGACCAGATTGCGTTTTCAGGTGTCTTGGTCTATTCTCATAGGTGCTGAAGAACTTGTCCATGGAAATGCGCAGTAGCTTCTCGTATAGGATCAAGGCCTTCTCTTTGATAAGAGAACCTATTGTGGTGCTTCCTGTAACTAGAAGCATTGCATCAATGGGTGTTGATTTTATCCCTCCAGTAATTAGTCGTAATGCTTGGTTATGTGCCTTCTCGAGTGGTTTGAGAGTCACCTCTGTGGCTGTAATGAGTGGCTCACAGCAATACAACATTATTGGCTGAATTAGCATCTAGTAAGTGGTGTTGAGAGTTGAGCGCGCACAGCCCCATACGCTACCAGCAAGACGCTTTAGTACATTCAGTCTATTGGAGACTCGTTCTGCTATTTTAGCAATGTGACTTTTCCACGTTAGCTTTGTGTCAAAAGTCATTCCGAGATATGTGAACTCATCGGTTTTTTCTATGTTANTGTCTTCCTTAATTTCACCAAACTGTCTTACTTGTATCTTTATATCTCTTGAAGATTTTCTGACAAAAGGGTTTTTCTTTTGCATGTGGAAATAGAACCTCGCAATGCAGTTAGCTATTTCGGTGTCGGTGGTAAGCGATTTGCTGTTTAAGCGTATTGGTTCTTTCTTGAGTCTTTCTCTGTTGTTTTGCAGGTTTCTCAGAAATTTGAAAGTGCGTTGGCTATCACTTTGATAGTTTATATTTGAGATGAACTTGTCGAAAGAAGTGCGTTTAGCTTGTAAGATGACTTGCCTTAGGACATCTGTTTGTCGTCTCCAGGCTTTTATGTCTTCCGTTCTTCCAGTCTGATCAGCAGGGTTGCGAAGGACGTCCCACTTTCTTTTTAGTTCCTCAAGGTGTTTAGACCAAAACACTCGAAAGTGTTTAGTCTTGGCTCGGGAAATGGTTTTTTTTGCAGATCTGATCATAATATTCGTGATAGCAGTGCAAAGTTTGTCAGGAAGTTGGTTGAAGTTGAGTGGACTTGTGTGAAGTTCATTCTCCAAAAGGTTAGTGAATCTAGACTAGTCAGCCTTTTTGAAGTTCCATGATAGCTTAGTTGGCACTTTCCTTGACATGCTTTTGCTACCGATGGTAATACTAGCAATGACTGGTTTGTGACCAGAACCAGGATCGTCAATTATTTTGCGGCGTGTATGCCCACTGATATCGCTTGAAGCCAAGAGTAAATTAGGAGTTGTTCTGGATCCATTGTAGTGCAAATATGTATCCGGATCCTCATTGCTGTAAATAAGTTCCAGAATGTTGCTGTTTAGCATGTTTCCAATTTCCTTACCAGCTATGTTAGTATCCTTGTAGCCCCATCTGGTGGAGTGGGTGTTGAAGTCTCCTAGTACTATGGTTTTGTGTGAGATGTTCAGAGTGTCAAAGTTGGGACAATTCTGGGGTGGATTTTAGACTGCATATATCTTGATGTGGTTTTGACATTTCCAAACATTTAATCTGATTATTTCACATATGTCTTGTGTCGAGCCCATACTCTTGATTAGGTTGTAGTGTGAGGTGAGGACTTCTTTAACTCCAGTTAGAATTCCAATTGCAACTTGCCATTATTTAGGTAGATTGTACAGATTGTAATTTGAATGTTCCTTCTTATATATATATATATATATATATATATATTACTGTAAGCAAATTCTATATCTTCTATGAAAATGATTTTAAAATAGCCTGTTACTAACTTCTTCGTCATTATCTTAGCTCCCTTGAACTATTCACATTCCATTATGGGCAATAACCTTCCAACCAAACATTACCCTTCTGATGAATCTGTTGAGAACAACGCAAAATTGAGTGGCGAAGCCGCAAATGAGGAAAAGCGCGTAACTTATGATGTATCCGAAAAGACCTTTAGACAAAAAGGTCGTTTTGATGCTCACAAACGAAGACGTAGTGACGAAAATCGGTTCGCATGTGAAGTATGTGAAAAGCAATTTGTTCATAAATCTGCACTGAATTCTCACAAAGTGGTTCACAGTGACGAAAAATCGTACAATTTCAGTGAATGCAAAAAGACATTTAAACGTCAATCGGATTTAGTTAGCCATATGCGTACCCATAGCGCAGAAAGGCCCTACAAATGTGGAATATGCCAACAAGCTTACAAGCGTAAACATCATTTGACTGGACATTTGCGTACCCAATGTGAGGAAAGGCCCTTCTAATATGGACAAATTTAAACAAGGATTCAAAAGTAAAGACACTTTAAATGTACATAAGCGCACACAAACGGGGGAAAACCATATATATATGTAGTGAATGCAACAAATAATTTTTGACTCGACAATATATGGAAGCACTCTTGCTTGAGCATGCTTACATTTGCAATGTATGGGGAAGTAGTTAAAGCATCTAAACCACTTGAAAGGACACATGGCTTGCCAAGCTTGAGATTAGCTATTTAATTGTAGTGTACATGGAATGGGGTTTTCAACTATAGATGATTGGAATTTATACAAATGGCTCATACTTGTGAAAATCAATAAAATTTTAAAGAGAATGGGCCAAAATATGTTGTATAAATTTTGTTTCCTATGGCGTAACAGCTCCATTTAAGAGAAATACCTCCCAGAAACGAAGGTGGCAAAAGTTAAAGCTTTTAAAATGATATTTGAATGCACGGGAGGAACACATGGAGATGAAAATTTGCTTGGAATTAATGAAAATGATAGAAGACCTCAGAATAAATTTAACTTGAATCTTCTAATTTAAAGTTAACTTCATTTATCAATGTGTTTCGTCTCCTCAATCCAATTAGAATCCAGTTTTTTTCAATGTACTTTTGTTATCACTGCGTGGGTTATCGAGTCACAGCAGACACTGAGAGAAGAAAGATAAAACTATATTATTCTGATTATTATTAACACATCGATTATTTAGTAGACAAGAATAACTAGTAATGTTTCGATAAATTAATTAAGAGTCAAATACACGCTATTGGCAAAAATAACAACCACCAAGAAACCTCTCCCACACTTCTTATTAACCTTATCGAAAAGTGTCAAAAATTGGTTAGAAGTATAACGTGCTAAGCTGAATAAAAGCATTCATTGGACAAAGATCATGTAGAGTGACGTAAGAAAACAATCTGCTCAAATTTAATCATTTATACATTGACCTTAACAGGGAGTTGTCGCAAGGTTTACTATTTTCAATGTATTCATCAATGGCATAGGTGAATACCGCAAACAGTGTAGGGAAATGCCAAGACAATCTCAGGGGGTTTCAATGTGCGTTCTCAAATTGATGAAAATTAAAACTGAAAACTCCCGTCGAATATAGTAATTTCAAAGACTTATGAATGAATTTTGACCTATTTCCTAGCTTCATAAATAAGTCTTAAGCAGGCCAGGATTGGGTGGTGCGGCAATGCAACACTGTGTGCAGCCACCATGGAAGCGCTATTCAATCGTAATCTTAAGTTTGTTAAACCTAATCCGCTAAGCTAATCGTGAATAAGCACCCTGCGTGTGCACTTTTTAAATCACTGCGTGTGTGAACTGTGTGTGTTCTAGGTTTATGTGCGTTCTTCTACCATTTGTAATAACAGTCGATTTCGGGAGAAATGCCCAATAAGGGATTTCTGAGTGAACCAAGCTATAATAGTGTAGCAATCCGCTACTCCCTCTTTTATTTTAAATGACCCGTTTTAAGAGATATGATCTTCGGAGCTGCAGAAAAAATTCTAAATCAATTCAACAATAATCAATGAGGTCATTCATGTCATTAAATTAAATTTAACAAAAATAATTATTATTCATTATTTAGGTGAGGCGTAAACGCATTAAGATTATAAAACAGATTGATGCATACGTGAATATCAAACCTAAATTGAAGTATATAGGTTAAAAATACAACTTTTTATTGGGATTTGGAAAATTAAACTGCAAAATAATTAATTAAATTTTATATAAAATATTCAAATTTATATAAATGTGGCCTCTTATAAGGATTTATTGTTGTGTCAAAAATGTTTTACTTTACAATAGTGAGCTGATTCAAATTTAGCAAACAATTGAAAATAAAATTTTAAACATGCTTATTTTATGTTAAAACATGCTCGATTTATGTTAATGAAGAGTAAAACACTTTGAATTTAAGCCTCAATAATGATTTAATTGTACAATTAAATAATTTACGATTAGTTGATTAGAAATGAAAAAATGAAGAGAAGAAGAAGCAAATAGATTAAATGACTGAACGACCGCTACATTAGAAAATGTAGAAGCCTTGAAGCAGATTTCTAAAAAAATGCATTTTACATTTAAAATATATTTTGAATAAATAACTGGAGGATTCGTGATCTTCCAAAATTACCAGCCTGCTTTTTTTGTGAAATTGGAGTGGGACGTTTTTCCTACTAGATTTTGGTTATTGAATAGGTATTTTAGCACAGATCAAGAATATTTGCGTCTAATAATCTTCCACATTAAACTTTAAAATTTAAGAACAAATGAAGAATTTTTCACACTAGTGTTTTTGTTATTCTATAGGTATTTTAGTACAATTCAAAAGTATTTGCATTAACTAACTTGTTATATTTAATTAAATTATAAGGGGAGACAACGTAATCAGGAAATTCATAAATTCTAAAGAAAAAAACAGAAAAAAATATCGCGTATTACAATTTGAAACGCAGGCGTTTAAGGTTTTGGATAAATTAGTTTCAATCAAGTAAAATGCGAATCATGCAAAGTCTAAATGATCTTTTTACTCATAAAATGCAACGCTATTTAAACAGCGTTTTCTTAATTTCAAGCTCAAAAAATGTGTTCAAGAGATGACAGAATGCACATTTTTCGAAAGTATATCCAATTCATAAAAAAAGTCTACCATTCATCTTATCATCACAAATCTTAAGTCACGTGTTTTTCTTTGACACTTATGTTTTATACTAGGGGTGCGCAATAGACTTAACTCCACGTAGTGCACCCTGGGCACCGTATGCTCATGCGGCAAAAAATTCTATTGATTGGTAGTTGGCTTCTGACTTCAAACTACTATGGCCCGACTATTTGTCTTATTTGACCCCTTCCACAATACTCATTTTACCTTTTTTACGCCTTTGTGTCCGCCGGTCTGCCTCTTTTACATCTGCGAATCACTTTTCTGTTCCACATCTCGACTTTTTGCCACCATGATGTTTCTTTACCTCTCTGTGAAATCAGCTCCAGAGCTAATGATAACTATCTAAACGCCTGTCATTTGATCTAAAAAAATAAATCTAAATGTTTAATGCAACTACTTATTTGATCTAAAGTAGGTGATTAATGGATTTAAATAATTATCAATGCAGTCTATAAAGGTACACAACAGCTGAGTGTTTTGGAAATTTTTCTTTTCTATAACTTTTAATTCATGAACAATGGTATAGGATGTTATATGGATTGAAGGATATTTAATTTCCGTTACTCACCAGCATATCATCTTACCATAGGGAAATTTTGTGAAAGCAATGCTAAATAGCATGCATTGAAACGCCGTTGAGGCCCCTTATAACTAAAATGTCAGTTTCAATTATTTTAATAGAGCGTAGACTGTTTTTGGAGAATAAGTCGAATAATTTTTAAAACAAAGTTTAATTACGTAATAAAAGCAAGCCAATGTTCCGTCGGAATGCTTTCTTGTTGTTAGTTATGTCTTAAGAGATTTGATGCAACTGGCAACGGGCATGTCTTGAATGATTGTAACGTGATATTCACAACCTGATATGTGAACAACATTTTCATGTTCTGTTCTAATTCAAGACTGTCATTGCGTACTCATAAATACAGATCCAAACCTCAAGATATTGTTCGAAATCTGTGTTAACCATGCTAAAATTTGGAGCACTACTAATTTAAATAGAATCAATTGCTATGTTTCCCAACAATGAACAAATGGGTTTGGCTGCTAGAACGTCTGTGAGGAATTTGAAAAGCAAATATATCGTAAATATGAACTGAATGTACACAAACAGATCCACAGCGGCGAAAATCCTTTCAAATGTAGAGAACGTAGTACACCATTAAGAATAAATTCTCATATGACATTTACTGGAGAAATATTCAAATTTGCTTCTATAATCTACTACTACATGAATGTGAATGCATTTTTGCTTGAGTATAATAAGCGGCATGATTGCTGTTAAATTATCACGAATATGTAAAGGATTGCTTTGTGTTGAAAAATATCATATTTGAACTGATCGTCTTTTGAAATTTGTATTACTTTATTTCACCTGAATTTCTATTGATTTTTGTCTGCATAGTTTGGCCATGTGCACGCTATTTTGAATAGTTTGCTGATTGAAATCTTGATCAATACTGCAAATTCATTTTATTAAATGTCACTGTAAACCGATAAATGCATCACGAATAACCAATTGTTATGAAAAGAGTTCAAAGATGTCAATGTGGTGCGACTTCAATTCAAAGACATCTGATGCAAAACCATAAGTACGATCTTCCTATACTATGTATATTCCTTTCTAAATATCTTGGAGTAGTCAAAACTACTACAACCGTTGTAAAACGGAGAAAGAGGTTATTATGCAGATATATTTCATTTTTGGCTCCCCTCTAGGAGACGAATTCAATCATTGGAGATAATTGCCTCCTTACATGTAAATATCAATAGGCCGTGCTATTTGGTCTTCACACTTTGTGTAAAAACAGATTTTATTTATAATATTCTATACAAAATAAAAATTGAAAAAAAATTTTTCAAAAAATCACAAAACGTCCATGAAAAACCTCGATTGGCTGAACAAACATCCTGAACGTAGCTTTTAGGATTGCGCGTTCACAGCCCCATACGCTGCCAGCAAGACACCTCATTACGTTATGACTTATGGAGATGTGTTACGCCGCTTTAGCAATGTGCCTTTTTCATGTGAGCTTTGCATCAAACATCACTCCGTGGCGTGAACGCATATGATAAATCAAATGCTATTTTCTCTTGAAAGCTTGTTTGCATTCTCCGCATTCGAAGGGTCTTTTTTTACTATGGGTAGACATATGATGAGTTAAATCTGATTGGCGTTTAAATTTATTTCCACATTTTTTGCATTCGTACGGTTTTTCATCACTGTGGACCCGTTTGTGCGAATTCAGTTCAGATTTTGTAAAATATGACTTCCCACAAGATTCACATTTAAATGATTTTACGCCTTTACGTTTGCATTTGTGAGCGACAAAATATCCTTTATAACTAAAGGTTTCTTTGCATGTATCACAAGGTAAGCGCTTTTCTTTATTTGTGGTTTTCGTAATCATTTTATCGATGCTCTCAACAAATTCATCTAAAGGATCATGTTTAGTTAGATCGTTATCGTCCACAATAGAATTGGAATTGTTCAAGGGAGCTAAAAATACGAATAATATGTAGATAGCAGGCTCTTTTGACGTCCTATTTATAGCTTTTAGTTGTTTTGCTTACAGCAATAAAGGTAAGATGGTATATCAAATCACAGGGAAATCTTGTTTTGCATCAGATACTTCTCAAGTTACCTAATTAAACTTTTAAAATTACCAATAATCGAAGCTTCATCACTATTAAAGAGGAACAACTTCATTCAAGATATACGTACGCCCATGAGGTAATAACCGGATTACGATGAAAGCGACAAATATAATTAGTATATTGTTCGAGATCTGGCTCGGCAAACTCAGCAAAGAACCGTGAAAATGAACGCGCTTTATTTAAGAACAATTTTATACGAAAGAAAGTACAACAACCAGTTAAAATATGACTTCTTGCAACTCACAACACTTTTATTTGAATTTTCGTCAAGCTTATTTGTATGAATAATAGTCAAATATTTTCTGACCACCGTTTAAGATCGATTATGAATGGCTAAATATATGAGTTAACCTATGTCAAGCCAACAAATTAACCATTCTTGAAATGTCCTAAAATATTCAGACTTGCAACTACATTTCTGAAATAAATGTTTTTTTCAAAATTTTAACTAAGGGGTTAAGAGATGGAATGGATAAAAAAGGTTTCAACAAGATTTCATTTAATTCAAGTGTTGAAAACGTAAGTTTTGAAAACTGGCATACCTAATGAAGTATTCGAATCCATTTTATGTTTATGAACTGCCTGGAAGTGGATTCGAATCTCATTTCTGTCTTTGGATCTAAAATTGCAAATGGGGCAAGAAAAATAATTGATTGCAGAGTTGGTCAAGAGAGAATCGTCGATTTCACAGTGAGTTAGTGACTGCAGCCACCAGTTAGAGACAACATCGCGATCTCCGTTAATTGGTTGGAAAATCGCATGGATGAAAAAGATTAAAATCTGCGAATTATTGCAATTACCCGAATTTAGTTTATAACAAATAAATATGCTTTCATTTTATGAATAAAAATGTATGCCAAACGCCAGATTACTCTCATTTTTTGTGAACTTAACCCCAATTAAGCGGATTTAATTTATTCAAATTTTCATAAAAGTGACATACCGAGGATTAGTTAAATTTGTGCTCGCATTTGGAGATAAAACTTGCACATCATTTCGAGAAATGTTAGGGGTGTTGACATTTGGTGTCGCGGAGCTCTGATGTGGCATTGCAGGCAAAGTCGAAAGGTTACTCCTTAATTCTTGATTCATATCATCTAAATAGTGACCATAATTTATTTTAGAGATTGAGCCAAAAAATGCTTTGATGTAAAGAAATTATTCTCGAGGGAATTTAATCGAACAAACACGAAAATGCACTACCGAACATCTCTTTCATTTGCTGGTGCTCGTCTTCTAAATCCGAGTGATATATATCACAGTAATCTATAATTGTGTATAAGAAATAAACATTGATTTAGGATTTGGAAAAGAGAATAATTAATATTGCTTGCCTGGTAAAAATTTTGAAACAAATTCATTCAATTAATTATTGGATGTCTTTGAATTGGAAGTAGAATATTCCGATTTCGTCCCCGATCCCTCATTTGAGTTATTCCCGTTCAATTTGTTCAATATCTACATGGATTATGTAATTATACTAGTGTAAAACTGACAAGATTAATGTTCATAATTTTTCGAGATGATAAATAATATTTAAAAAAGTACAGATGACACGAATGGAAAATTATTTTTACTAACATAAATTAGTAAGTCACGAACGTCCGAGTCAAGGCATCAAAATTTAATTGTGAAATAATGTTAATGTTTTAACACCCTTATAGCTGTCATAATGGTTCGTTATCAAAAGATCATATTTGATCACGTTATTATGGAAATTAAATAATTTTGCGCACATTCACTTTTAAAAAAATTATCAGTTAGAATATTTAAGGTTAACTGCATTCCAACACTAGAAGATAAAAAGATCAATTGTAATAAAAGACTTTTTCTGGCATAATATACTCATAAAAACAAATCAAATCTCAAGAAATTTATTTATATATACGTAAACCACGTTTGTATTACGTATATCAATTATTTAATCAGAAGGGTTTGCTGTGCTTACAAGCAGTGAGTTCATGAATGGTAAATTTTTTTAGATTTTGCGAGTATAATTCTTTTGTCAGTCTAAATAGCTTTGCGCTCAATAATGTGAACTTTTCAAGGATAAAAAAACTATATTTGTTAAAGATTGATCAGGTTAATGCTATTAAATATTTTATAAGCTTTATATTACTTGAACGAATCGCAGATGACACCTATCATACTTTTCAAAAAGACATGAATAGATGATTGCTACGGAAAATAAGTCAATTCTACTCAGCGTAAACAGTGCTTGGAAATTTCAAGATAAAGCCAGGAAGGTTCAAGATGCATTCTTCAAGTCGATGAAAATTAAAACGGAAAACTTACGTCGAATATAGTAATTTCAAAGACTTATGAATGTTTTTTTGACCTGTTTCCTAGCTTCATAAATAAGTCTTCAGCACGCCATAATTGGGTGGTGCGGCCGTACAGCAATGTGTGTAGCCACCGGACAAGCGCTATCCAATCGGAAGATTTCGTTTGTTTAACCTAATACCCCAAGCTGATCATGCATAAGCATCCTGCGTGTACACTTTTCAGATCACTGCGTGTGTTAATAGCTTGTGTTCTTCTATCATTTGTATTAGCAGACGGTTTCGAAATATATACCCATTAAGGGATTTCTGAGTAAGTCAAGCAAACCGCTACACCCTCAATTGTATTAAATGCCCCGTTTTGAGTGATATGAACGTTGGAGATGCAGATGCCAATTCTAAATCAATTCAACAATAGACAATGAAGGTCATTTAGGTCAATAAATTAAATTATAGCAATTATTTTATTATTAATTGTTTAGGTGAGATTTAGTCATACTTAGATTCTAAAACCTATTGATGCATAAGAGAATCTTAAATCTAAATTGAAGTTTCACCATTAAAAATGAAACTTTCCATTGGGACTTGAAAAAAAATTCACCGCCAGAGAAACAATTTGTTTTCATATACAGCATATTTAACTTTATATAAATATAGCCTCTTAAATGGATTTATAATTGCAAAAAAATATTTTCATTTAATAATAAGTAGCTGATTCAAATTTAGCAATAGTTTGAAATTAAATTTTAAACATACTGATGAATAATTGGAAATACATTTGCCGCTTACCTTAAAAACGTGGGCTACCGTTTAGAGGGATTATAATCAAATTTCAAAGAGATTACACAATGCCTCGTTTTATATCGATGAAAAATGAAAGACTTTGAATTTAAGCATACAAAAAAAATTAAAAATTAAAAAGAAATAAAATTCAGTTAGTTATTAGCTGATGGATTGGGGCGTCCCAAAAATATGGTGCCTGAATATACCCTTGATTTTAACTCTCCAAGCAATCTGAAGTCAAAAAATAAAAATGATTATCAATTTACAATTATGTCTCAATGTCCGAAACTACAGAAAAATTTTAGAAATATTTTCCCACAAAATGGTGAATGTGCAAATAATAAAATCCATTTCGTACCACTTATTAAATATTATTCGATTTTTTAAAAATAGTAAAAATGAAAATTTGGGAATGGCCATAGTTCCAGACATAAATAAGTTTTAAAGAAGACTCTAATAAAATTTTAAGAAAATCGGTTTGGCAGAAACTGAGAAATCGTTAGTATCAGATTCAAAAACAGTTTTGAGAAAAACGTTATTAAGTTTTAATTTAATTTTTTTGTAGTCCAATTCATTAAATTTTATTTTAATTTATATTTATTCAATCTGCCATTCCAGCCGCATACATCGTATCTTCATCGACTTCGAAAAAAAACTATTTTCGGCGTCTTTGTGTTTCATTCGAGCAGTTCAGGCCTCCTTTGTTGCGCTGGATGCTCGTATCTTAAGGCGGTCAATCCGAGCGTTGTCTCGTTAGATGGCAAATGAATGAAATCCTGGACCCATTTTCACTTTTATAATCGTCATCAACTTCAATATCGGTATAAATCTTTCATTGAAAATAAACACAGCAATAAATGTTGCAATTTCAATTATCCGAGACCCGGAATGGATATGCTTTGGAGCAAAAATCTCTGTCAGCGAGTTTAGAGACTCATTATTATTTTGAGTTTCGGAACACAAACATCGTGTCAATAACTCTTCTGATGATAAATCCCGAAGGATTTGTCAACGAATGCACAAATGGACATGCTCATAAGTTAGTGAAAATGCGGTTGCCGCAAGTAGATATTTTTCCTTAATAAAGAGTGCTACAGTTTAGGTGAATACAATTAATTTTTAAAAGGATCCCATAATGCTACGTTTTTGGTTTATATAGAGTAAACACTGAATTTAAGTCTCAATAATAATTTAATTGTGCAATAAAATAAATTACGGTTAGTTGATTAGAATAAAGAGAAGTAGATGCAAATAAATTAAAATGACTGAATGACCGTCACATTGAAAATATAGAAACCTAAAAATATTTTTTAAAACTGCATTTTTCATTTAAAATATATTTTGAATAAATCAATGGAGGATTTGTGATCTTTTGAAAAATCAGCCTGCTTACATTTGGCGCTGTTCTGGAGAGAAATGTTTCATTTGTGAAATTAGTGTAGGATATTTTTCCTAAAAAATTTTGGTTTTTGGATAAGTATTTTGGCACAGATCAAGAATATTTGCGTCTAATAATCTTCCACGTTCAATTTAAAATTTAAGAATAAATGGCGAGTTTTTCACACTAGATTTTGGTTGTTCTACAAGCATAAGGCAACGTATTCAGGTAAAGTATAAATTCTAAAGAAGAAACAGACAAAATATTGAGCAATACAACTTGAAACGCAGGCTTTTAGGGCTTTAAATAAATTATTTTCAAATAAGCAAAATTCGAATCGTGCAAAGTGAAAAATGTTTATTAATACATACGATTCCACACAACTCAAACTGCGTTTTCTCAATTTCAAGCTCATAAATTTTTTCAGCATATGACAGAAAGCACATTTTTCGAAAGTACACACAAATGATAAAAAAGTCTACCATTCATCATATCATCACTTTTTTGTTCCCCATCTTGACTTTTTTGTCACTTTGATGTTATTTACCTTCTCTGTGAAGTAGAGAATTCGGCTCCAGAGCTAATGATAACTATCAAAACGCATGTCATTTGATATAAAAATTAAATATAAATGTTTAATACAACAATTTATTTTATTTAAAGTAGGTGATTAAAGGATATAAATTTAATATCAATGCAGCCTATGGATGTAAACAACAGCTGAGTGTCTGGAAATATTTCTTTTCTATATCCTTTAAGTCATGAACAATGGTTTAGGATGCTATTCCGGTTAAAGTGTATTTCATTTTCGTTACTCACCAGCATATCATTATACCATGGAAAAATTTATTGTGAAAGCAATGTTAAATAACCTGCATTGAAACACCGTTGGGGGCCCTTACAACTAGAATGTTAGTTTCAATTATTTTCATAGAGCGTAGACTGTTTTCGGAGAATATGTCGAATGACTTTTAAAACAAGGTTCAATGACGTAATAAAAGCAAGCCAATGTTCCGTCTAAATGCTTTCTTTTTATTAGTTATATCTTAAAAAGCTTAATGCAACTTGCAACGGGCATATCTTGAGTGATTTTAAAGTGATATTTACAGCCTGATGTGTCAACAACATTTTTCATGTCCTAAAAGCACGATGTATTTTGAACTCATTTAATGATGTAGATGCCAATTTTTATCAACATTTGGGAATTTACAAATACTTCTCGGTTAATATATTTCGAT